GACGAATCTGGAAGAGAATGTGTTCTGTGAAGTATTGTCTTCGTTCTGAGGGAGAAACATCCCACACCAATGAAGTATCAGAAAGTTGCGCAGAATGAACGGTATATGATTCACCCGTTTGCAGCAGTTTCGCGATGAAGACGCACATGATGGGGGCCTTCTGTGTATGATAAACTACTCACTCTTCTTGAGTTTTCGACTTTATTATAGGTAAAATATTGGGTTGTCTCATAATTCCTGTCGCAATTTCGACACTTTTGTTTATTCAAGTTTTATCTCTTCTGGGAAACAACTGACTAATAGCATAACCACCATCATGGTCACTGATATGCGTGCATTTACTAGTGGGCGTTTGGAAGCTTCCAGCCCAGAATGAAGGAAACTGGGGGTTGAAGAATATGGAGAAGTCGTTTTTGGGGTGACCGCAATCTTTAACTTTCTTCTCTGGCAGATGCTTATTCAAAGCGCAGGGGAGGCGATAGTCCGATAGAGCGATGCCAATGCTATATGGTGGATGAGGTATCGTGGCCCTGGCTATCTCCCTCAGAACGTGGTGAGTTGGCATTGCAATGTGAGGTCTGGTGTACATTCGGAGGAAGGAGGATCTGAGACGTTTCTGACGATTCTCTCGCAACCCCAAAGCCAGCCAAGAGGGCTATTCCGCGCTGACTTTAGCAATGCTTGTCTTCATACATTGAAGTGGTTCCCAAACCAGGCCACCTAGCGAATCCAATAAAACGAGAGCGATATTCTCAGAAAACGGAGTTCGGGCTTTGGTTGAGCTGGTGCTTCCTGGCTGCGAGGCAGCCATAAGACGTGCCGCATGTTGTTGTCGCAGTGTGATCTCATTTGATCATCCATTTGGGTGGCGGTAGGAAGACTTGCTTTTGCCATCCAAAGAAGTGGCGTTTACCCCAGGTTGATAAGAGCGTGCTTCCCGCTCATGGTCGGCCGGACCATAAGGTTTCCATCAAAACTTCACTCTGCAGCAGTCCTTTGCCATACTGATGGCCAGTGCTGGTGCATCGGCTGCGCTCAGGTATCTGCTACAATACCCTGGGTAGCAACGTGCGGAGGCACTCCCAATTTAGGGTGCAAGGGGCGCTCATCAAAAATGACCGCAGGCCCAGTATGAGGTTGAAGTTCATAGCTCGTTTCGTCTTTGCCGTTGCGATTGGTCCACTAGCTCAGTACCCTATCAGTAGCAGAGACTGAGTCAAACACAGCGCTGATCTTCTCTGTTGTCCTCCTTGCTACAGAGTTCATTTGAGGATCGTAAAGCATAATCATTGATTGCAGTCACTGACCTATTTTTATTACTAGTTGATTAACCCGTTAAGGGCTTGCGCTTCCGAAACCACGCTGTTAAGGCACTTGAAGCATACTTCAACATACTAACGTATTTCGCAATGAAACGGTCTTAGACGGAAGGAATTTGAAATTGAATAGAAATGCGACAGGAATTATGAGACAACCCAATATAATGTTATACAATGCTTGTCATACCACTGAACAGTTGTATGTGTTTGACTTTCTTTCTTTGCAGGAACGCATTGTGCGCTGGTGTAATGTAGCAGGCCGTACAAGCATTACTGGTTCGTAAACGAACGCACAGCGTACAGTCAACCGTTTTATGATTGGCGACGCAGGGCTAGATTAGGGAGACGTAACTATGAAGTTAGACCAGATTGAGTCAGATAATGTGAAGTGCAATAGACATCAAAAACACTAGCAATCCATTTGAAGCTCATATCTGTGGCGCATTCCAGTAGACGATTGATCTCAACCACTTTATCTTCTTAAAAGGTCAAAAAGTCATTAAAAGAATGGTCAAACCTGTTCAGCGAATTCTGCAAAGAACGCCTCTCGCTTTCTGGTCGATTCGCGTCGGTGGTGAAACGCTGGCATGCTTACCGTTCCACCAGACAAACCTCGCACAAAAATCGAACCCACATTCCTGAAAAATTCTACGTAAACGCTTGGTGTTAAAAGTTTTTTGATCGCACCAACAATAACCCAGCCGAAGCTGTATCGAAGAATTTATTCTATAGATGAGATAGTAGTAGTCCACTAGTAGCACAGATGTGCTATTTTCGCGGCTCGAAAGTGCACGACAGTGGGGCTAAGGCCAAAGAGCTCTGAATTTGACCGATGAGCTCACGGAAGAGATACCTCGTGCACATTCTATGATACACAACATAATTAGACCGTAGCGATTGGATGAGCTCAGAGGGCGGTGGAGCAACAATTTTAGTAAAACTTGTTCCAGCCCGCCCCTAACCTATTTCAAGGAGAAAGGGAAGGAAGACTTGTTAATGGCTTCATCAACGGTTTGCCGCTGTCACTCCACCAAATTGATGTGGGGTTGCTGCTTTCAACCCCATAGTTGAATGTTTTTCTAATTTTACCAGACAGGTGAATACACAACACCTTCCAAAAGCTAAATGTACACGTCTCTCATCGAATGCGAATCTTGTGAAGGTATGTGGTGCTGAAGTGCGATCGGCGTGGAAATGGGTTACGCACACTGAGATCTGAGATCTCCAGAGACTCAACGTATGTGGGAGATGAAGTAATTTAAGTGTTTGTTTGTCGGCTGATGCAGTATGCCAATATGTGCATGCCTTGAGGGAAACGTTTTGATCAGTTTTTTCAAAGCAATGTGGAACAAGGCGGAGGACTTTGGGATGTTGATAGTCCGTGAGATTGCGGATGCGGAATTACATTTGGAGAAGTGATGAAAGCGAGTAATCGTAGAGGTTAGATTTGGGTTGCGTATCAAATTTATGGAAACTGTTCGCCTCTGATCTTCATTATTTCTGGCAGTAGAGCATCAAAGCATCGAACTTAAGAAGGTTCGACAGCGTGGGCGCGTTTCACGAAGGGACTTATATTTAGGAACACGTGCCTGGCGCCATCAAAACACTATGGGGAAGGGTAGGGAAGTATCCAGCAGAAATAGGAGCCATGAATATAGATGAGAAACTTGTCAGATTTGAAGAAAAATGGAGGAAGTTGTCTCGGTAGAGTGCATCCATTGACTGTTTCCATACTTAGGCACTTACTGATTTTCTGATATTCTAGAAAATTTCTAACAATGTATTGAAACCTTGCCTTGATGTTTATGCCGAAATATGTAGGAGGCGTCCTGCGTCAAGAGAGTGAGCGGGCGAATGAGCGTGTGGTAACTCTACACTAAAGCGACTTCCTATGATGGTTCTCCCTCTCCTACTTGGCCGTATACGCTCAGTTGCTACCCGACTCCCAAGAGGCTCGCTGTATTACCCCTAACCACAGCGCGGTGATCTTAACCACTTTGAGCGCTGGCATCGTCGGGCTCATATCCCGTCAACTGTGTACTACGGACACTCATGTAGGTTTATTGCTCCTGTGACAGCACCAAGTAATTCATTTATTTTACTTGCTGAATAATGTACAAGTATGAGTTTGAAGGTGTGAGTGTTCTAAGAAAGTAAAAGTATAGAGAAGTAAAAGTATCGTCAATCTCTCGCCGAAAGGGCGCATGTCTGCCTATGTCGCCGTGGTCCGGAATGGTACGTGTCGTTTTTTGCATCGTCGTCATGTATAATGCAGACGGATATGTTTATTGATTAAGTTCTAAGCGACTCCGTGCCTTACGGTAGCAGTCCACATTTAAGAACCTGCAGTGGCCGGCAGGCGAAGTCTCTCCGAGGCTAGCGCAGAGGACCGCATGGCACGAACGAAGTGTTAGTAAGTCGACTGGCGATGCCATCCATCGATGCCACTTGGATGGCCGCGGTTTCCCGCATAATCGATGTATAGAGCAAGGGCAGGTGGTCAAGGTGGCTGACTACGGTAGGAACCAACACGGCGGGGGAAAACCTTGGGAGCGATCTCGCGATTCGCGACAATGTTTCTTTCACTGCACCAGACTATTTTGTATTGTATGCTTTTGTACAATATTTTGAAATTTACTTGGAATTTGATCCTACAAGAGATTTCTAGTGAAATGGTTTTTTCATTCTTAGTTTTTCTCCCATTCAACACTGTTAGTGAAAGACCCTTGCTTCAAACATAATAAAATTTTATGCTGATGTGATTCAGACCAGAAAAGAGTTTAAAAATAGTCATACACAGAAGACTTTCCGCGGCGTTATGTATTACCAGCCACATTTTGTTTCACGCAGACATTTACGTGACCTCCATGTACCCATAATCTTGGCGTCTTCCACACACCTAAGCCACGCTCTTGGAATTCGACCGAATTCATTTTTATTCCTAACAGAAAGTCTTTGGACGTGATCTCCTTTCTAAACATCAGTGTTGACATAGACTGAAAAATGTCTTTTCTTGAAAACCTCTCCACGTAGCTATTTAGATTGGCATAGATTCACCTAATTCCTTCGTAAATTTCAAGAATAACTGTCATTCTGGTCTTTTGCAGAGCCTCCGTATTTATCCTTTCGATTATTCGTCATTGGCGACAGGAATGACGACAATAAGTACATGAGCTGCCAATTTGAAGTTGCTCCATCAAACCTGCTTAGGAACCTGGAATGATTGCCAAAAATGACTCTAGAATATTGGGTCGGTATTAGGGTAAATAGAGGAATGTGAAAGTGCCAGGTAATCCAGGTGTACACGGGCAAGGCACGAGCGACATTCGCGCAAAAACGGATAAACGCGCTATTGTGCCTGAACGAGATATGAATAAACGGCGTTTGGCGCGGTTTGAGAGCAGGTTGATGCTCTAATCTTAACTATCTTCATTTCAGGTCAAATTATACTAAATTAGTATTGCGAAAATTGAAGTTCAAACAAAAATCGAACAGCGTACATCGCCTCAGAGTACCACTCAATAGGAACCTAATAAAGGGCGTCAACAGCAGCGGCCCGGGCGCTAGGTCTTGAAGGCAAAGTTCGGGCTCAGACCCACCTAATAAGCCCTTAAAGTGGCTAGAAGTGCATGGGACGCAGCTGCAGGCGACTCGCCAAGTTCCCGCATCCAAATGCGTCACTAAGGCGCTAGGGGCCAAGGACTTTGACACGCTCCTCCTGTTGCGACACGCTCCGCCCACCGCTCGATATATTTGTTGTCTGCGTGGCAATCCGAAGTTATTACGTCTAATATGCTCTCTCTTCTCGGATTTCTCTACCGCTCTCCGCGCTCACATTATCTCTCATCTCCCTGCCGGCCTTTTGAACTTCTCCGCAACGTAGAGCAAAAGGCTCGTATTTCCTGTGTATTTCACGGATTTTTTCCCTTTTTTCTCCATGGGCGGTCACCTCCCACCCCTATCACATTTGTTTCGAGAAGGATGTATTACAAACAGTATGAGCGTTGAATTCTGTGCCTGCTACGAGCGGAGAATGTGCGCTGCAGCGTAAGGCTGAAGCTATACGTTCAAGCAGTCACTATATACCATGGGTGCTACGTGCCGAAAACCGTCAGCATGGTGGAATTTACAAAGTTTCATATTTTGCATATTCTCATGGAAACAAAATTGGTATGCCTACGCTGTAATAGAATAGACAATAACATAAGCGCATGGACACAAAGGGACAGTGTGGTACACATACGACTCGCGTTGTCCCAAGTGGTCTGCAAGTGCGGATCGTATGTGTGCCGTGCCGTCGTTAATGTGTAAACGAAAATGACCCTTTACAATAGGATGCAAAAAAACTAACCATGATCGTGAGCGAATTTGGCGGCATACACAAAACGGTCGACAACCTCTGTCTTGACCTGTGCTTCGCTTAGCGCGATCGGTGTTCCAAATCTTAGAGGAACTGTCTTAGATTTAATTCCGAGATCCGAACATGAGAACGGATGTAAATTTACTGCTTCTTGTGTTTGACGTCCGCCCTGTTAAATGCATGCGCCATTACAATACTGTTAAAGTTTCTAACACCAAGGAAAGGATCCAGGTCGCAGGTCGCCATGGCCATTCAAGAAGAGATGTATACGTCTAGATGTGCCTTCGAACGCTGATCTCAAATCTACCTTCCAAATCTGCTAAACGATTCTCTGAATGGAGTTATGAAGCAAAACAGCGCAACGGTAGTGGTCGGGACTCACAGTCAAAACGTCGTAGGATCGGCCTCCTGTCGTGTTTCTTTGTCTTGCTTTCTAATGAAAACTGATGAAGCGGCTCTTAACGGCCTCATAAGCCGCGTCCTGAAAAAGCAAAACAGTAAACATCAAAAGGGACCGATCCTACGAAGTTTTGACTGCAATTCCCGACTATCGTAGCGCTGTTCTGCTCCGTAACTCCATTTAGAGATTCGGAAAGCACAATGGGGCTGTATGCAACAAGCCCCGGAGGGGATATATCCCCGACGACCTTTGGGGCTTGTTGCAGATGACCTTCGGGGATATACCTCCGGCCGGGTATACACCCGAAGGTCGACCTTATGCAAGAAGCCGCGAAGGTCGTCGGGGACATATCCCGAAGAACTTCGGGGCCTGTTGCATACGGCCCATGAGATCAGCGCTCAAGGGTACATCTAGACGTACACATCTCTTCTTGAATGGAGATGGCGACCTGAGATCCTTTCCATACAGAACATGTCAGATTCAGAGAACTCCACGTACATGTGATAACTGAACAACAGCCAAGGCTCCATCCTGTTTCATTGTTTCCGCTAATTTGGAAGTCATTTCTCGGAGTTGTGGGGAATCATTTTCTTTGCTGAAGATCGCGTTCCCGACTGACTCTAGATGGTTCTGAAATTCTTACGTTCAATTCTATAATACATCACACACGATAACCCCCAAGAAATACTCGATACAAGCACCTCCAAACTCCCCTCACAAATCACCGTCGAGACATCACCAGAATCACTCCCCCTCCAGCCATTGGTGACACCCTCAAAGCCACGATTCGGGATAAGGTCCCAAGGGCCAGTCCTCCTGGAGTGTTCCCAAGCGCAGGAGGCGCGACACTGTCGCGACTCAAAAGTGCGAGGCAACGGCGCTAAGGCCTTGCCTTGTGTGCTGCCGTGCTGCCATCCTTATCAATCGCGGCATACGTGGTCTCTGCGCCCTCTCGCGTACGACGTACTCTCTCGCGTTTTCCCTCTCCTCGCAGCGCTGTGTCTCTCCGTCATACCACGGCCGGCCTCAAAGGGAAATTTAGTGTTTTCTATGGTGCTTTTGCTTTTTTTTCTCCTACTAATGTTCCTCATTGCACTTCCTTGCCTGATTTTCAATTGAAACAACGCATCAATTCGACCCCGACTGGTGCCTTTAAGTTTGATTGATTGAATCAGCATCGAGTCCGAGTCTATGCCTACCATATCACAAGAATTGCTGCCAGATGGACAGGTAGGTGGAATAGACTCGTATGAGATGTTGCAGCAATAGGGCCGGTTGCAAAATGGAGATGTAGAGATGTGCTTGCCAGAAATCT